CTTTAGTTAAGTAGTTAGCTTTGGGTGAAGACGTAGTTAAGCCGTTTATCATAGAAATGATAAATATAGAGTGCGTACTCCTATCGTTTCTCAGTAAAAATTTTGTCCCCACAAAATAGCGGAGTTAATAAGGGCATTTTAACGGATCTGAAGTAGCCCTGACCCCCTCTCTCAAACCATACCAAATGGCGCCAAAAACGTTGTGTACGCGCCGAAAACTGTTCCAGTCATGTGACCGGACAAATTATACAGTATGTCTATGAATTAAAATGTATTTATTAGCGGAGTTAATAAGGGCATTTTAACGGATCTGAAGTAGCCCTGACCCCCTCTCTCAAACCATAACAAATGGCGCCAAAAACGTTGTGTACGCGCCGAAAACTGTTCCAGTCATGTGACCGGACAAATTATACAGTATGTCTATGAATTAAAATGTATTTATTAGTTGTAATAAAGGAAGTTAATGTCGAAAGCTGGGGTTTTGGAGAGGCGGTTTGTGTGGGTTTTTTTTTAAGTTTTTTTAGGACGGTACGTTCGTGATCAGTCTAATTTCGTGGCTGGGGTTTGTGAATCTCAGGTACCGGTAGTCTACCGTCATGGTGGTCATTGTTGTTTTTTCTCTTCCACGCGTTTCACTTCTTGTGATTCTCGTGTGACTGTGTGATCATGGGATGGAGAGGGTACGGTTTAGGTTCCAGACGTGTTGTATGTTCACATTACCGTAGCCTAGCTCAATCGCGTCGCCAAACACGATCGCACCGCCGTGCTACCGTCTCCATCCCTACTGATCGGCGGCGGGCATTACTAGTTAGTCAATCTCGTTCCCCGAGCCTGCGATCCTCGGGAAGGAACGTGAGGCTCTGGGATAATCCGTTGCCCGAAGCCAGGAATCCTGGCTAAGACCGAACTGCGCATTCCATGTCAACGGCCAATCAGATTCCTCCCTGAAACGGATTATCTCAGATCCTCACGTTCCTTCCCGAGGATCGCAGGCTCGGGGAACGAGATTGCTAGTTATTAGGTTACTATGTAGTGCTGCTTGCTTAATCCGTACAATCTAATGGCTAATTAATCCCAGCATTGCTAAGCATCCTGTAGGCCCCGTTTACACGAGACCGGAACGAAGTCAAACCGGGACCATCTCGTTTCGGTCATAGTATTATCTATAATAGATGTTTACATGAGACCGGGACGAAAATAACTCAGACCGGTCTCAAGTCATTCCGCCTTCTGGACCGAACCGACTGACTTCAGACCGGCATGAATTCAGACCGGGATGAATGTAAACACAAATACATTTCAGACCGGTCTCGGATGTAACCTTGAATTGGAACAACACATGCTAGCAAAAGCCACCTGAAAAAGAAAATTGCCTGGCAAGGGGAATAAATTGAAGATTTTGTGATCCTCGTACCGGTCTCATGTAAACATGTTGACAATTTCAATTTTCATTCCGGTTTGACTTCGTCCCGGTCTCATGTAAACGGGGCCTTCTGTTTATATGGTCCCGATTACCCGGGATTCAATGAAGTGTGACGTAATTTGAGCAATTGAAATAAGTGTTTCAGCCCTAAAGAAAATTTAGAGAACTTTAAATGTTGTTTAAAACGAAACTAGGAACGCGCTAGAAGTTATGTAATGGAAGAAGACGACTAATAACATTTAACAACATTTGTTTTTTGTCTAAAACATGTAATTTCATACAATATGTAACAAGCAATTTTGTTAGATCATGAACGACCACTCATTTCAATTGCTCAAAATACGTCACACTTCATTGAATCCCGGGTAAGCAGGACCATATAAACAGCCCCTAAGGCTAAGTCACATCTCCTCGAGATCGCACCGAGGCTGGAAAGTTAGGTTACTTTATTGACACCACGAATATTTTAATCCATTATGACTAGAGATAAATTAAATTTAGAAATAAATGTAAATCAAATATATAGAGGTGCGCGGAAATATCAGATGTATTTCGAGTGTTGAACATGATATCTCACGAGTGTCGGAGTGAGCGCAGCGAACGAGTGAGATATGTCCAACACGAGAAATAAATCTGGTATTTCCAAGCACCCATGTATTATTTTTCTGTTTATTATATAAACAAAATTCAGTGAAAAACAATAAAACGTCCGTGGCAATGCGTTTTACAACAAATGATATTTTCACACGTAAAAATATCGTATTTTTTACGTGTGTTTAAATACGACTTTTCTCAGTGGCCAAAAACTCTATATAACACTTATGTTTATATAATAAAAATAAATACAATATAAAATATTAAATCAATAAGTATAATATATTATATATAGTAAATATAAAATAAATATTAAAATAAGGAATCCTGACGATGAAACGATGAATCTGAGATAAATATATTCAGGGTTATTCATTATCCTTAGAATGACCACTGCATGTTGGTTAAATTCTCATCATGCTCATGTTGAAAAAATCCAAGATTTGTCATTTTTAGACAGGATGAGCAGGTTAGGTAACACCAACCTTACGGGCAAGCATGTCGACTTTCTCGAAATCTTCCCACTCGAGACTTCGTAAATTTGTTCTAATTTCTGCTCCGATTTTTTCAATGTGACGCTCCTAATTATCCAAACAGCTTTTGGTGCTTTCTCCCAGGATCTTTCGAGCACAAGGATGGGGAATTTTTCTCCTGTGGCTATGCGTGTCCATTGAAAAGGTTTAATAAATAGTTCATGTTAGACGATGAATGTTTCTCGCACATTGCTGGTTTTCTTCTAGCGGCTGCCTGCGACAAAAAGAAAGTAATCGGTATGGCTTTTGCGTAAAAGTCGTCAGCGTTTAAAGGCCCGTGATAAGCTGTTTGTGGCTGTGTTAGTACATCTTTTACATGTTCAGGCTGAATTTTATGACCTTCAGGCAACCGATTATTGTACGTATTCAAATCGCCGCAAATCTCTAAATTCCAATTGTATATCGATCCTTTTCGAAGTACCAGGCGTAGCTTATGACAACGGACACAGGGGAAATGTAACCAGTTCCTGTATATGGTAGAATTTCTTGAACGCTTCTTCAAAGTTGTCAGTATTGAATCTTTTGAGTGTGTACTCCCTGTAATGAATGAATGTATCACGGTAGATGTACACGGGAAAATATGTCATAAAATCGACCAACTGCGGAAAGCCTATCGCCTTTTCGGTGGTTTGTTGCAAGTAGAACCCAGTATTCTAACTTTTCCGTTGGTCATGATAGTTGGCATTGTGACAGGAAAGCTGAGTCGGCATCTAGCCATGCTATGATGTCATCATTTGTGTAAAGATCAATTAAGAAACTGCTCCATAACTGTCGGTTATAGCCACGAACTTTTCGTTGGCCAGGGAAATCTAAAATAGTTCCATCTCTCGGTAATGACTCTTATCGCACTTCAAACGTATAGCTGGGAAAGTGTTACGGGTCTGATCGTTGACTTGGGCGCCAAACCTATGATCCTCCTCTGACTCCTGGTCAAGCACAATTACCATTTTACCTAGCGACGGTGGCCAAAAGAGAATCACTGTCTTGAGCATGTTGCAATAAAATCGAACCTTGTGGTCTTCTCGTTCCCCCGACATCCTTATTAAAAGCGAAATAGATATAGGGTTTTGTTGTGCTCTCTGTATTGAAGAAGTGATGGTGTTATCATGACGTCCAGCGAAATTGTTTAGTGAAACATTTTCATGAGCGTTCTCTTGAAGAACTGGCAGAACTGTGGTATCATAGCTCCGAAATATGTTCCAACACACGAACACAGAAGTTACCAATAAAATCGAAAACAATGATAATCTGGAACGGCGACCCATATTTGAGGAGAATGGAGTTATTTGGTGCAGTTCTTTTCTAGAAAATATTGCAAAAAATATTATACAATGCTGTGTCAAAAAATCTGTGAAAAAAATCGCTAGTGGAAAACCGGCTTTAACGTATATGGTAAAGGCGCTACGTGCGAAAAGTGAAACGCAGTGCGTGTCGGGTCCGACCCTGAGTGTTCATTGTCTGGCTTAGCACTTGTTCTTAAAATTCTTTTAACTTTTTTCTGTCGTTTTTAACTCTCCAAAGTTAGGTCGGTTAGTGTCGTGCATAAGTGTATTTAGATTTATACTTTTGACAAAATATGAATAAAACATAAGTATGGCCGATTTCATATCTAATGCGCATGTCCGTGCGTATGGCCGCTGTCTGTCTATATCTATATGCACGGCCAAAAACGATCAGGTTGTTGCAATAGGTGATGAAAACAGGATTGAACAATGTTTTGCTGCCCATATTGTTCACACTTGTCAACAATACTGAACAAATTGTTACACCCGGTTCAGGTTCAACAATATTGTTCAATATTGTTGACAAGTGTGAACAACGTGGGCAGCAAAACATTGTTCAATCATGTTAAACAGTGGGCTCAGCGTTTTTACACGTGTATACGTATATAACACCATCTCCCCTCTTAAGGAATGTATTTAAGGAATGTATCATAAAATATTGTTCATGAGTTCACTATCGTGTTCCAACAATTATGCTAACCATAACAGTAAGTAATAAAGCAGTTCTAGTGTAGTTTTCTTAACAAACAGTTTCGGATCAAACAGTTAAGACCCCACCTCTCGTGTGGTTGGTGTGATCTAGTTGGGTAACGTTGTTCAGATCCTGTTGTAGCCCTACTTGCTTCTTGTTGCACTACTGGTGGAATCGTGGCTAGTTCGATATCCGGCTCTGCGACAATTTCTTCTGCTGGTGCAATTTTCCGGCCAGTCTCTCCGAGCTCTGATAAGGTCCAGCCGTATCATCACTCTGATCATTTAATTTCGCACTGGAGGATCGAAGCTGATCGATGTGGCGTCGCCAAATTCGATTTGGACCAACTTCGATCTCGTATGAAAGGGGTCCCGTTTGAGCTCGAACTATGCCTGGTAGCCACTTATCTTTCCCACTGTAGTTACGTGCCATGACAGTCTGACCAATGGATAACTGACGTGTGGAGGAATGTCCTTAATTTCCTTCCTTCTTGATCGATTTGCCTGTTTTACCTTCATTTGTAAATCAGGTTTCACCAAATCGAGGCGAGTCCGTAGCGGTCTGCCCAAAAACAACACCGACGGTGATTCTCCATGCAGTTGTCGAATGCGGGGTATTCCGGTAAGCCAAAAGGAACTTTGCCATATTGGTTTTCAGCTGGGATGTACTTTGTTTCTCGCATTTCGTAGCATGTTTGAAACTCTGAACAAAACGTTCCGCTTGACCGTTGGTTGCAGGGTGGAATGGGGCCGTGGTAATATGCTTGATGAAACCCAATCTCAATCGAGTACAATCCCAGAAATTATACCTCCATCTACAGGAGTTAGAACAACATCGAGAGGAAGAATAATAAAGAGACCATCAAGATTTAATGATTTCATAATGAAGTAAACGTTTGACTATGCAGATTAAATTATTTATTTAATAACTTACCTGAACTTTAGAGCCTGTG